AAGCTTCTAGAAAAGGAAAATCTGTGAAGGCTGCAATCATCAAGTCTAAAATGAGAAAAATAAATACTGCCAGAGAAGTCTTGCCCACCTTGTGTAAACCACAGAATGTTCTAGGAAGTGATACCGTTGGGTCATTCTCACATTGTGCTAAGAGGAAAACGGAAATGGGCCGGATTGGGTCTGAAGAAGAAATGGTTCATTGTTGGGCATTCTTTAAATGCTGAAATAATTACTCGATTACGGGTTCATGTCGTTTATTTCAATAACGCAGATGCGGGAGCCCTGGAGGAGATCAGAAGATCTTGTTTATTCCTGTCTTGATGTCTGAAGAGACCTCTCCCCGGGCTCAGGAATTGGAATGAGGGTGGGGTGGGGTCATCCTCTGATGTTTTATTTCGTTGCTTTATGCAAAAACATAAATTTCAGACACTCATTTGACTTGTAACTAAAAAGTCATTGTTTAGCGTTTGTGTGTGGAAAGGGAGCCTGGGAGCACTTGTTTCGAGTAAGGCTTCCCTGATTTGTGCAGATGTGTCCAGTTTTGAGATGAAGGTTTTTCTCATTTTCTAATCTTCCACTCGAAAGAGATGCAGGGTATTCCCGGAGAGTCAGCTGTGTGGCTCAGCCAGCCAGTCTGTATTTGCTTCACTTTAGTGATTTATTCTGCTCTGTCTGGGTGCTCATTGAAAACAGCATCTTCCTTGGAATTGATGAATGGCTGTTATGTTTTAGGTAGGCTCGATTTGCCCCTGAGTTATTCAAGTTCAGATTTTTAAACAATATTAGACCACTTTCTCTCTCAAAGTTATAAAATTCGGAGTCCCCCACTTCTTTCCTCTCCAGGTCTGCCCTCCCAGTGCTGTCTTTTACTTCTTTCTCTTCCCATCCCTTGGGTTCTGTTAACCAAAATGCTAAAGCGGCAACTTCAAGTGTGTTCCAGGCGAGCGTCATTTCAGGAAGATGGAGCTGCCGTGAGCCAGCACACTGCAGGGTGCTTCCTCCGAGCTGGTTTTGTCCTGTTCAGGATTATGATTCTGGTCCTGTGTGCATTTAGAAAAACACATTCTTAAAACTGCAAACCTCTGCTTTGTGAGTCAAGCAGAGCAGCTCAGATATCTCAGGCTTGCAGAGACAAGAAGGAGGATTTATTTGACACATAAATGAACAATCTTTTTTTTGTCTGTTTTCATTTAGGGACACTAGGGTTACAAATGAGTCTCTTTTGTTGTGTGAATGGAAGTTTCTGAACACAGGTATCCTCACACAGAGCAACAACCCTGAGATGGTTGTTATATATCAGTGATTCTCAACTGGGATGGGAGCGATTGTGTCCCCCAGGGAACATCTGGCAATGTCTGGAGACATTTTGCTTGTCACAGCTGGGAGAGGGGTGCTACTAGCATCCAGCAGGTAAAGGCCAGAATGCTGCCACATGCCCTACAGTGCACACAACAGCCCACCACAACAGAGAACAATCTGCCCCCAGTGTTACCGGTGCCGAGGTTGAGAAACCCAATAGAATGTGTGTAATTTATGATAACATTATACTCCCTAGGCTTCATAGTGGGGAAACAAGGCTAAGAGAATGTATCTAGCCAGTGCCAAACAGCATGAGCCCTGAGGCTGATGTTCAGCTATCCAAGCTGACCTCCTGTATTAGTCAGGTTTCTCCAGAGAAGCAGTTCCAATAGGAGAGAGAGAGGTTGAGATTATAAGGAACTGGCTCATGTAATTATGGCAGCTGACAAGTGCCAAGATCTGCAGTCGGCAAACTGAAGAGCCAATGGTATCGTTCTAGTCTGAGTCTGAAGGCCTGAGAATCCAAAGACCTGATGGTGTAGTTCCAATCCAAAAGCCAGCAGGCTTGGGACTCAAGAAGAGCTGATGTTTCAGTTCAAGTCCAAAGGTGCGAAAGACCAATCAATGTCTCCGCTCAAAGGGTCAGGTGGCAGGAGGTCCCTCTTCCTCAGCTTTTTGTTCTATTCAGGCCTTCAACTGATTGGACGAGGCCCACCCACATTGGAGAGGGCAGTCTGTTTTACTGACTCTGTAATTCAAATGTTAATGTCATTCCGAAACACCCTCATGGACACACCCAGGATAAAGGTTGACCAAATATCTGGGCACGCCATGGCCCAGTCAAGTGGACACATAAAATTTGCCACCATACTGCCTGACTTTATAAGCAGTCACTCTTTGTTTCTGCTCCTGGTTCTGCTCACAGTGTGGGGGTGGAGCAGCAGCGTCACAGCAGGGCTCCTTGAAACGCCCACCCCAGACCCCGTAGGCTGAGAAGCATTGTATTAGATCCCACAGAAGGGAAAGGGACGGAGGTGCAGGCATCTAGAAAAACTGATTTTATGATATTGATGCAAAGAGCCGTCTGAATAGTGTTTGCCTTGCCTCACCTCGTAATCAGTAGGGTTTTTTTTAATCACTTGAAAGGTGATAACCGTACGCCAGCCACCAGGCCGCTTTCACACTTGCTCTGTGTAATAAGCACATTGAACAGCCTGGTTCTGTTTGTGACTCAGCTTTAAGCTGTGTCGTTGTGAAGTTTAGTCTCAACTCCCTGGCACAGAAGTAGACCGGGACAAAAAGCCAGCTGCAGGCCAACCATACTGAAGGCAGAGTGTGATTT